TGGAGAGGCCGGTTGTGGTAACCTCGGAGATGGAGGTGGTGGAGTAGGAGGGGTGGATGATGGTGGTGGGAGTAGATCAAAGAAGATTAAGCAAAAAAAAAGTCCCACAGAGAGGATTAGGGGTTGCGCAGCTGTAATTTTCCAGTAAAGTTTGCATCTTTATCTCTTCTCTGAATATATGGTTATGTTTGAATTTCACAAGGGATTTCCCTTTGTATCTTGATAGATTGTGTTTTCTTTGTTGTTTCAATTGGCGGAGATAAATGGCTACACAATTAGTCAAAGAATGGACTGCAATTCAGCAGTTTCCTGCAGCTACCCGGGGCAGATTGCTTGAACTGTTGGAGAAATTAAAGCAGGAGGTTCTGGTTTTCCCTCTTAAATTTAGCATATTTTCACTACATTATGCAATCTGTTGGTCACTAAAAATGGGCTTTACAGAAAAAAATTAATGAAATTAGAATCTCTATGACTCTATCGTGTGCTCAACTTGAAAAGAAACATGTTTTACTATCTCATTATGATTGGTTTGTGGATATGTTGGAAATTAGTGGGTTTTGCATTTTCAGAATGTTGTTTTCGTTAATGATTGATATTTTGGTTTATAATGTGTTTTTCCAGGTGATTTATGAGTTGAAAGCAGGGGGTGTAGACGAGAGGCGTTTGGTTGGTGCCAAGTTAGAGAAGCTGGCTGAGGGCGAGTCAGGTAAATATTGCACATTGCAAAATTACACATGCGTTGGGCAATATGCTTGGTCAATTTGTATATTTATATACACCAATTTGAACATCTACTATAGATAAGAATAATAAAAAATCTCAACTGAATGGTTGTTAATGGATTTTCAAGTAGGGAAATCTTAGGTCCTTTTTGGACGTGAGGGAGTGCCGTAAATTTCTTGGGCATATGACAGTTCTAGAGTCATCTGATTGTTCATTATGTGTTAGGAATCTGTTGACTTTGTGAGGGAAATCTTAGCATGCTGTTTTCACTCGAGTGTATTTTACAAAGGCCAATTACTTTAAAAATGCAATCGTTGTGTAAATAATAAATTTTTTTTTTGTACTGTCTGAATTGATTCTTTTCGGTAGTGATGTTGTCCTTTTCTTTTGTCTATAAGAGCTGAGGAAAACCCACTGAAGCTATACGGGGTGGGAGGTATAACTACAACCTTTTGACTTCTTTGCAACCTTCATTGCTTCTTTTTGTTAAACCTGAGACTGGTTTATGGCACATGGTTCTAGTGTTAAACAGATTAGCTTTTATTATTGGCAACTTTGGCGTAATCGATCTGCTGCTGCTGAAGCTCCACCGGCTGTGAATAATGTCGCCTCAGCTTTTAGTTCTCCTGCTCCATCAACAAAAGGACGCCATTTTCTGGTCATATGTTGTGAGAATAAAACATGGACAGGGAAGACATCAAGATGCTAGTCAACAAGTGAATTTCTCTGTTTTTGAGCTCATTATGAGTATGGTCAGAATCATTTCTGAATTTTGGCAGCATTATGTAATATTGAGTTGCTAGCTTTCTCCAATTGTATCACATTCTAAAGTTCAAGTGTATTGATTCAGAAAGTTGTAATTAAATTATCAATTTTTATGCAATTTCAAAATTTGTGCATAAAGATTCATTTTCAATTTTGCTACCTTTTTGCAACGTTTTTTAAATGCTGCAAAAAATTTAAACGTTGCAAAAGACCTTTTTTTTGCAACGTTTTTTAAACGTTGCCGTATCTCTTCCCTCAACGGCAACA